TCTGGTCTAACGTTGCTGCTCTTGCTGCCTTTATAGCAGAAAACAGGCTGGGATAAAAAGGAGAAAAAAACATTTCAAAACAACATAGATTTTGTGCTCTAACACATCATCACTGCCCGAGGCAGCAAGGAAATATATAAATATTCCCTAATCTCTGCTCTCCTCTGTTTACTTTAATATTTTTGCTTAACACAGTCTTTTTCCTTTTTTAAAATACATGCAAGTAATTGACATGGATGAATAAAGCTCATGTTCTGTGTGGACGAAACATGTGAAGCATTTCTCCAAATTATACTGCCGGCAATATTAGAAGTGAAACAGAAAACAGCTCTGAAAAACATTCAAGAGCTAGAAGCTCTTAAAGTGACTGTATTGACTGAATGCATGTGACTATAAAATTGTAAGGTGCAAAAGTTTCTTAGTTTTACATTCTGTGACCAAACATTTTTTGATGTATGCTTCACCCCTCTTTACTGCTTCAGAAAGGATTGTAACTGTGTTGCAAGTTTAATTTGAAATGAGTCAAATTGCCATTTTTGTCCTTATCATCTACTCTTGAACAAGGATGTTTGTCCCTTCCTTCTCATATGACCCATAGGGGCATCTTATTAAATTGTGCTCCTATGGTAGCAGGCAGAATTGCAACAACTCTGCCAACATTAATCAGCATATTTCACACTAGCAAGGACATGTTTACGGACTTTTGTCATCATAGAAACCGCCATAAACAGGGTACTTGCTTACGTTCGGGGAACAAAAGCCTCATTGTTATGTTTAGGAACAAAAACTGTTGAAAAATAAAAGCCACACACTAGAACCAAACCACTGAAGGAAAGTCCTGTGTTGTGTGCACTTAGCCATCCACTCTTGCCTCCTCCTAACAAGCACTTTGTGGATCTATGTACTGTCACATAACTTACCCCTTTCCCTGTGTCATATTTACTATGGTGCTAGATGTCACAAAATTGTAACACAACGGTTGGTTGTAATAACCTGCTGGCAAAAATGACATATACAGTAGGCTTGTTTGTTTGTTTTTACAGGAGGACAGGTGCCTTCTCTTAGTAACCTGGAATGAAAACATTTTCCAGAAATCTTTTGAAATTTTGAAAAAGTGAAATCTCTCATTTTGACTCATTGCTGGAACACTCCGAATTGTGGCCAGGTGCATTCTGTTTGCTTTTATGTGTCCTTGATGTGTCTGCAACTTGACTAGAGTCCACCCATGGCAAATTGGTTTAACTGGACATAGTTTAGAGAGACACACCTGTCAATGACGTGCAGTGAGGTTGACAGCTGGTGAGGCACTAACTCTTTTACAGTCAGATTTACAAATACAAATTGTCTGTTAACAGACAATGCGTTATGTTTTATATCTCATATCAGCATTCTTCACACAAACGTGACCCATATTTAATTTGAGGTTAAAATTTATTCCAATTGAGCTTATTTCTAACTAGAGATAATAAAACTTTATGGTCTTACCTTTACTTGTACACGAAATCCATTTGTCAGCTAGTATGTATTACAAACCCTTTTACCGTTCGAATCCAATATTAAAACAAATGTTTTCAATAAAGAAGATCCTTCTGGACAAAAATGTCCAGACTGTCAAAGTGCTCACAAGCGCCCTCTGCCTTGAGGCAGGCGTACTGTTTGCCTCACCGAGTAACTTTTTTACTGGGTTTTATGGTTAATCTGCAGTCTAAACACGTTACAGAACTACATTTTATACATTATCCAGATTATGACAAGGCAGAGCATATAATCAGTGTTTTAAAGCATTTTATTTGCGATATATAGAGGGACAGCGACACACTATTTGCATCGCATACAGTTTGTGAGGATTACACGATCCACCGAGAGGCACAGCAAAGTGCTGCCTCATCGCGCATCTCCTCTTGTATGTGAACGGGACATACGGAAATTCTGCTATTCTTTATTGAAAAAAAATTCCTTCGACATTGGATTCGAACGGCAAAAGGGCCTACAACACACACCAGCCGACAAATATTAACATTTATTATATTTTATGGTTTTCTTTTCAAGATTGACAGGGGAGGCTCTGCCTCACCTGCCTCCCCTGACCGCACGTCACTGACACCTGTGTCTTATAAGGTCTCACAATTCATACTGTTGTCAGGAAACGGCACGCGATGCTGCCGAAAAAGAGTTTGGTGAACTCATTAAAGGGCCAGACGAGGAAATGTAAAACAAAACTGTCTCTTTAATAAGAGAACTAATGTTAACAAAACCATACAAGACACGGTGAAAACACAAAACTCACATGTCGGTATAAACAGTCCGAGGTCAGAGCCAGCAAACACATACAGCAGAGGTAATCCAAAATACGTAGTTCAGAGGGAAGTCCGATTATCATACACAGTGGCAGTCTGTAACAAGAGGGCAAGGCAGAACAGAATAGTCAGAGTATACGGTCCGGGTCAGAAACACAAAATACCAAAACCGAAGAAAATGCTGGAAAGTCAGAGCTGGGGTCTAGAACAATCTGGCAGGGATTGAGGGGTGAAGGCTGCTTATAATGCGGTGCAAACAGGTGCAAACTAATTGGGAGCAGGTGAATCTAATGTGAGTGATTAGTGAAAGTAAAAAGACCGAAACAGAGGTGAAACAAAAACAGGAAGTAACATCAAAATAAAAGCCGGACAGGAAGCAGCGGAACCGAATCATGACAACTGTATGTCAGGACATCAACCATGAAGTCCAAGGAACTCTTTATAGACCTCTGTGATGAAATTATGGAGAGGCATAGTTCAGGGCTGTGAGCTTTATAAAGAGCACAGTGGCCTTAATGATTGTAAAATGGTAGACCCACCAGAACTCTTCTTAGAGTTGGCTGTGTAGCCAAACAGAGACACTGGGCAAGAAGGGCCATTGTTAGGGAGGTGACCAAAAACTCAGTGGTTACACTAACAGAGCTTTAGAAGTCCTCAGCAGCAGGGCAGGGAGACATATAGACCTATATACTAAAGTTATGTGCAATGAAAAAATGTGAAGCACTGCATATGTACAATATGTACTTTTTTAAAGTGCATTTTTCAATATGCAAAGCAACTACAGTACAGTCCATCAAGCTGAAAAAACATAGAAAAAATCAAATGGACTCATCCAAGAGGCTTCATCAGTTCTGTCTGACTGGTGTTGAGCAGGAGATATTTATCCCCCTGGGTGGTGTTTCAGTGATGAGATGTAGATGGTTGAAACAACTTGTCATCCATCTAACTCTGTTTTGAAATCTCTGCCCAAACATTCCAACCCTAATTCACACCAGGACAATAGGCGTCGGTCCACATGTCAGGGTTCAAAGACAGGTAACGACTCAGTTGTTAGGGAACATTGTTGGCCACCAAAGGACTGAAACACCACCCAGGGGGATAAATATCTCTTGTTCAATACCAGTCAGACAGAACTGATGAAGCCTCTTGGATGAGAAGTGAAATGTCTTCTACCTAAAACCAAGTCCAGTAGATTTTTTTTCAGTTTATATGACCTGGGCGACTGAGAATCTGCATGGATACAGTGCACCAATCACTTTTGTATTTAGAAAAAAATAGTTGGAGGAGCCACACTTACATATAATGTACTGTAAATAAAGGTTCACTGTGTTTGAAAAGGCTGAAACCCATCTTGCACTTCTTCTCAAATTTGTGGTGCATCTAAAGCATCAAAAGCAAAAGGAATCTAATAAAGATACTCTGAAAAGATGACTGATTAGTGAGTGTGTCTTACCCACTGAAGAAGATCAAAAGCTTTGTAATTAGTCACCATTTCATCTCATTTTTTCTTCAAAAACTAAAATTTAGAAAAACTAAAGGTAAGCAATGAGACAAACACTAAACAATATAATTAACTGATAGTTCTACATGGAATGAAAGAATGTGTTCGGAGAAGAAAAAAAGGTGCTTTATATCTGCCAATCTGTTGCCTCCCTGCTCCAATTACTCCTGTCATGTAAGGGTGCCGCCGCGCAGACAAGAATAATGTGCAGCCAAGCCAACACAGTGATGACTGCACAGAATAACCACTGGACTTTTTTGACAGTTATCCCATTCCTGTTATTTATCTGTATTTGTCAGCATGGCCTTGAATCCTCTAGTTCCTCTTCAGTTGGATTAATCTCAGCCAGCTGAAATGCCACCTTCTCTGTTCTTTTATATACACTTTCAAGATGTCTGCCATTTGTGTTCCTTTTTGTTTGTGCAAATTGTGAGAGCATGTGAACATGTGCTCTGGGAGTTTCATTAAATTATTTCATGAACAAAAAAATAGGGCAGCTGGGCTGCTGTGGTGATTAAACTGAAGCTTGACATTTACAGGGCTGTTTGTGCACTTTCGCAATGGCTTTTCATGTGTGCAGAAATGAAGATTTAGAGCTGAAAATGTTAATGCTGAGGAATCACTGCTTAAATCATTGTTGTCTTATGTAAACCACCTACAGAGGGTGGAAACTGATAAATAAATTATTCAATGGCAAACCACTTATGCAAAGACTGAAAGCACTCTCATTATTATTGCCTTTTCTTCCAGATGCGGATTACTTTTGAAGGACACAGCAGACAGTGTAATGTGTCTAACAAGGTACAGTCTAATGCTTACAGTCCACCCACATGCTGAATCTTATCTCCCCCACAGAGACAGCTGAGGAAGAGGAAGTGCTACCTCCTGATGGTTGGAGCCATCGTCCTCCTCATCCTCATCATCATCATTGCTATTTCAGCAAGAAAATGAGTCTGGCCACTGTGGTAAGATTTATCATCCACAGTACAACACTGCAAACCCTGTCCCAGATATCTGACATTGTCACTTCCATATTGTTTTTAATAATGCTAATCTTAGGTCTGGACAAATATAGATGTTTGGTGATGTATAGAGCTGATATTGCCCTTTTATTAAAGTAGGGATATCAACCAGGCAGTGTCACTAACCTGTCACGTCACCATATAGGAAATGCAATCACATTTTTTTCATGTGCCCTCAAGTTTCAAACTACATTCTAAACAACAATGATAGATTTTCTCATTTTATACTTGGGACATACATTATTATCGCCAAGCAGAATATGAATATGACTTGCGCCTTGGTCAAAACAATGAAGAGGACAGTCAGGAGATGACATCATGCATTCATTCCTAAACCAATTCTGCCCAGAAAAATCTTTGTATTTACTGCTCAAACTACTGGCCAAATAATTTTGTATATGAGAGGAGGAACCATTAAAAAAAGTAAACTAGGCCATAGAACAGCAGCTTCAGAAGAACTACACCCAGGCTAATAATCCTTCTTGCCCTTCCTAACAACATGCTTTCTCTATACTCTGTAGAGCAGTGATGTAGAGTAGCAATAAAGTACAGTTGAAGGTTCAAGAGAGGCTAGTCTAACTATGTTTTCTTTCTTGCAAAATGTAGTGTGTAGTAACTCTTTAAAGTTTTGTACCATGGACATTGGCCATTAACCAGCAATACAGTGTCTGAATTCTGCACATTTCTAATAGTAGGGGAATCGTATATGTGCATCGGCAAAACTGAAGTGTGAATAAAATAAAAACGTCAAAGAGGAGCAAAGATGATACTTCACAGTCCAAACAACCTTGCCAGAGAGTTTTCTCCAAAGAAATGAGGAAGGAGCAGAGCCTGTTGTATATTCCAGCAATTTTAACAAAGAAGCAAAGTGAATGTTACATACTTACACTAATAGCGTGCATCTATACTATGTACTCACTGCTTTTGGTCTGTTAACTATTCATACATCTTTATATAGGAACCTCTCTCTGTCTCCTGTTTTAAGACCGAGATTACACAGGGCAGTTTTGTTTGCCAAGCCTTGAAATCATCAATCTGGTCTCAAAATGCTATAAACATCTCTTAAAGAGGAAGACATGATGGCTATGTGTATTGGTCAAGTCCAGAGCAGTTTTCAGCAAATATTCACGAATTCTGGACAACACTGTGGCAAAAAATATTCTCCATCTGCTCACAGTCACTGCCTAAATTTCCCATGTGTGAATTTATAGCATATTTATATGTTTATTTTTGTAATAGAATATTTATGTGCAGTACTTTATGAATGTATGGTGCTGCTGTGCTGTGTTGTAATTACTGTACACTCTCACATACACTTTAAATAAACTGTCATGCTAGATGGAATATATAACCATATTTTGGTAAAATTAGATAATTTCCAACATATTTAGCATATAGATTGGCAGTGGTGAACAGATTTATGCTGTAGAGGCTCAGTTATTTTATGATGTATGGGTAATTTGAAACTTATTTTATGTGAGAAACACATTTTATTTTGCCATGTAAAGTACTTTGGTCAGCTGGATGTTGTTTTAAAGTCCTATATAAATAAATTTGATTTGATTTTATTTGATTTGATTTTGGAATTCACTGTAGAGAATGAGTGTTATATGAATTCAAATCCAATCAGAAATTGCTCAGTGATATTGAAATACAGATTTTTGGTGGTGAATTATGTGAGACTGTCAAGCCTGCCACCAAACAAGATGTCACCTTGCTTGCACTTTTAAATGTTGGCACATATGTTTGATTTAGTTTTGATGTCAATATTTTGATCAAAATATTATATTACTTTTAGTCAAAATATACTCGTTTGGTTTTGTTGGTTTACAGCTTCCGCCATCTTTGTTATGAGTCTAGTGTGAGAGAAGCAGCTAAAATTTTAAATAATGATATTTCTTTAGTGAGGATCTAGAGGACGATTTAGATGACTGGTGCTGTCAGCTTAAAAATTCTTAGTCTAAATACAATGTCAATACGTTTTTGGCAGCAATCTTTTTCTGATTAAAAAGATGCAGCAAAATGTTTTTGGACCATATTCACTTGATCAGCAGGTTGTCAGTCTAACAACTAAAGTTTGAATCATTATGCCTATTGATGCCATTTTTCCAGCTGTCTGATTAGCCTAGTTGGATTTTAGGATTTCAGTAAAGAAGATTAATTTGGAGATGCCTATTATAGGCCTGAATTTGGTGATGAGATATTTTGAATTCATCCTGAAAGGTTTGGTTTCATAAAGAAGAATCAGCCAGGAAATTTATTTTATTTTATTTTATGTTAGGTGGAATTATTCTCTTCTGCAAGTTTATCAAATGTGTCATTTGACACTGAAGCAGCAGCTGACTCAATTTTAGCCCCACATTACTCATGGCAATTTTTTTTTCTTTTGCGGTGTTCAATACAAGATGTCTCTGCTTGTGTTAAGTATCGATCTTCACCTATTTTCCTCTGGGGGAGGAAAATGGAAATCCTGTAGAACAAAGCATTCTATTCATAAAACAGCAAGCTGAATCGATGCTTCCATGGCGACTGGCCCATGTTGAGCCTCAGCAGTTGACAGTCGATGCTCAAGTGACTAGACGCTACCAGTTACCACAGCAAGATTGTCTCAGAGCTAAAAAAGAAACAGGCCATTGTGAAGTGAACTTCTGGCTTCTGCACTGTTTACAAATGCTCAGAGAAAGCTTTATTGATGTTCACCTGTGCTGTCACTGTTAGCACCAGACAAAATAATGATACAAATGTGGACACACATTGTTTAACTTGTCTAAATCATTGTGAAACTTAACTTTTAGTTTATGTTCTGTTGTGCTTGAGTATGTAAATCTAGCACGTTCAACATGTATTTTACTAAAAATATATAAATACAATCCATATACAGTCATGGCCAAAAATATTGCCACCCCCTGCATTTGTCTCAGACCCTAATGTTACACAAATAATGTGTTTTGGGAGGAGCTACAAAATAAAGATCTACAAGTTGAACAAAAAAAAAATCATTTTTGGCAAAATTGGATGTGCTGAATTTCAGGACTTCGATAATATGCAATTCCACATAATTTAGAAAATAATAATTAAAAGAAGATTTTTCTACACAAATTGAGCTGTGCTCCAGCTCCATCACAGTTCCGCCATGGTTTTGTTGTCCACAGGAAACAATTCTGGAGTGCTACATTTTCGTGTTTTCCAAGCATGAATACATACAGTATTTGCAGTTCATGTAGATGAGATAAAATGCCACTTTTTGGCTGTGGTTGAATATAACAACCTGTTGTTGCTTGTACCTTTCTCTGTGATAGGCCAATTAAAGTGGGGAATTTATACATACATACACACACACACACACACACACATATATATACAGTATATAGTATATATATATTCAGCAGAAATCCATTTTATTTACTCAGATTGGTATCCCTTCATGGTTATAGAAATAGACCAAACCATTTTAGCAGATTTAGGCAGGATTAATAATGACTCTCAGTGTGTGTATGTGTGTGGCCTGGTATTACTCATGTTGACAAATTTGTTTACACAGTCACACTATGGGGACTCGACATCCTTATGCGATGTATAGCATTATGTTTTTGAGTGATGACTTGGTTTAATCTTAGGGAGAGGTTAGGTTAAGCCAATTATTGGTTTTAGTTAGGCTTAGGGGGACAGCACGGTGGCACAGTGGGTAGCGCTGTTGCCTCACAGTGAGAAGGTTCTGAGTTTGCGACCTTTCTGTGTGGAGTTTGCATGTTCTCTCTCACACTTCTGGCGCCAACAGCAATGGTGGCCGTGGTTGCTTGCGCTCTCTTGTGTTTGTTGTTTTTCTTAGTTTTCTTGGTCTTTTGCAACTCACCCCAGATTACTTTTACCAGGGAACAACTGTTAAATATCAGACAACTCACAACAAACTACCTTCCTCCGATTTTTGTGAATGAAGAATGCTGTAGGGACACTCTGATCGGAGGTGTAGCAGCAATATACAGGACCTGGAAAAAATGTCGGCAACGTGGAAAACGCGCTGGCGCCTTGGTGCTGTTACGACAGAGGTGAACATGGACCTTACTCCCATCCCTCACCTTGCTAATCTCCGCTCCCTGGTCAACAAAATGGATGAAATACTTCTCATCAACAGGACTAACTCTGACTTTGCACGCTCTGCTGCTTTGTGCTTCACGGAGACCTGGCTCAGCGACTCCATCGTGGACAGCGTGATTCAAGTACCGGGGTTCCAGGTGTACAGAGCGGATTGTGTAAAGGAGCTGTCCAGGAAAATGAGAGGAGGTGGAATCTGCTTCTACATAACTGAAGGCTGGTGCACAGATGTCACAGTGCTACAGAGGACATGTACCACAGACCTAGAGACTCTTGTTATCAACTGCAAACCCTTTTACTCTCCCCGTGAATTCAACAGTTTCATGCTAATGGGAGTGTACATAACACTGCAGGCTAACACTAGCGCGCTACAGCTCCTGGCAGAACTGATAACTAGCCTGGAGCTAGAACATCCCAACTCTCCACTCATTGTTCTAGGGGACTTTAACAGAGCAAATCTCATCCACAAACTGCCCAAATACAGACAGCACATCACCTGTCCCACAAGTGACAAAGTCACACTGGATCACTGCTACACAACAATAAAAGACGCCTATCACTCTGTCCCCCACGCAGCCCTCGAACTCTCTGATTACTGTATGGTCCATCTTATTCCAACCTACAGGCAGAAACTTAAAGCTGCGAAGTGTTGCAATCGGTTCTTTTTACTATGCTAACTCTGAGAGACGAGGCAGTCCAAGTAACTTCAAAACAGTGCTGATTTATTCAATGAACAAAGGTAAAAATTAACATTACACGTTCAGGTATCTTGCACCTCCAACATGCACGCAGGCAGCTGAAAAATGAAAGACCCTGAACCACAACAGGCCTATACATTATATCACTTCGAG